ATAGATTGAGTTATTTATTAACCAACATCCTTAAGTGCTCTGCTACTCTAATTACGCCGATTCGTTTTTAATGGAGCAAAATATTAATAAATCGTGAGCGGCGTCAAGGTGGAGGAGGAAGATACAGATGGATGAAAGAAGAAGAATGGCGGTAGAAGGAAAGCCGATGAGAAGAAAATGAGGTGATAATTGTCTTGTTTAGGGGGGACTATTAGTTGTTTAGATAACCATCTTTATGGTGTTTCTTCGCCTTTTCTTTTTCCTCGCCGGGCGTTGGTGAAGATATGAGGGGAGACGAGAGAAGTAAAGATAAATAAATAAAGAACATCTTAATTTTCGGTATTTACGAATTACGTAAGATTCACTATTCAAGTGGTGAAAAATTATAATGTTTTCTCTGCCGTTAACGAGGACGATTTTTATTTCGTAATCAATTTTGTGTAGCTCCTTTCGTTTTTAAGCGCCGTAAAACATGTTTACGGCATATTTTACGATTAATAACTTGTTTATGATATGTGATAACATGTGGCTGTAGGTCTACGGAATTATCTTCTATTGCTCCTAATAAGGAGTAAAACGGTGCGGACGCGTTGTTCCGCGTGAAGAGTACGTATTACTTACGTGATTTGAGTGTGGATCACATTTTCTCCATTTAAAAAATTTACATTAACTTTTTTTAACATTAGATATAGAACCTCGAAGTATACTAGTATTAAATAATAATTATTAATACTTATTAACTATTTATATAACAAATTTGTATATAAGTAACAATTGCGTGGTCCATATTTTAAGCCTCCTGCTGGAGTGTTATCAGAAGATAAAAATGTTGAGTTTACTCGGAACTCTTGGTTTCTCCTCTTCAACCCTGAGTGGGATTTGGTGTCGCGTGAGTAATTTGTATCTCGGCGAGATTCGCGTGACGCTTGTCGTTCTTATTATTTTTATTTTATTTTTTTCAGTGTAATTAAGAGAGAAACATTTTGATGAGACTAAATGGTGGTATAGAATTGTTACGTGTCGGCGTGTTGGCATAATAATCAGCAGCCGCTATAAATCTGTAACCTCATTACGAAACGTGTCGTTTTAATTGAAATCTTGTGTTCCGGTGGACAAAGCGGCTATCATCTAGCAGACCAGACGAAACCCCCCGGCGCCCCCGCCCTTCCTGACCATACCTTGCGCCCCCCTCTGGCGCCCGGCCCCGTGCCTTCAACCCATTTGTCACTACAAAACATTCTTTTTGGCGCTTCGACTCCGCGCCTCACCAACCCCCCTCACTCCCCGAACCGCCCCGACCATTAATTAACTTAATTATTATTTTTATCTCCTCTCCACTTGGACCGGTAGTCCCATCCACCCCATTTCCATAAATCAAACAAAACATTTTGAATACATTAGACCCCTTTAATGATGAGTGTGTGTGTGTGTGTGTG